TGTGCGCCACTGGTTCATTGAAATAGTAATATTTATTTGATTTCTTATTGATTTATCTACATCGAAGAATCTGGTTTAATATTTTATAACATACATACACTGAAGAGGCAAAACATTATGAACACCTACCAACAACCCTTTGCGCCACTATCTGCCTGCAAAACATCTGCAACTTACCTTGGCTTGGATACCATAAGTTCTTGGTAGAGGACTGGAGACAAGATGTACCAATTATCTAAGCAGTAGTCACGTACAGTCGAGATATTCCAACATTAAGATATTTTATCTCTAAGCTGCTTTTTTTTCTTTCTCTCAAATGTGCTCTATCAGAATAAGATCCGCTGAGTTAGGTGGCCAAGATATTAATTGGAATTCATCTTCATGCCTCTCGAACCATTTTAACATAATTCTAGACTTTTGACATGGAACGCTTGTGATACCGCCCCCCTTTGGTGACCGTATCTTTGATTGTCAACGTGAGCTAGAGGTGTAGGGTGTGCAAAAGGAATAGACATTTTTGATTCTTAATATGACTTTATTAAGAATAGAACTTAAATGTCAAACAATTTAGATAATATTGATTAAGCGAGAATCTATAATGAACAAACACACAGCAATAGTTAAACCGAATCACGTAACTTAGACGACTATAATAATTTAATTTGCCTACTCTCACTTCTAATAATATTACAAGTCCTAATATCAAATAATCATTCCTACCTTAATCCCAAATTTAGATTCAATCTTTCTGAGGAAACGTCCGTGCGCGCGTGCAATGGTATGCATCTTGTTTTAATGGCTTGTTTTCCAGGTAACTTCACGATTGGCTGTCAATTCACATTTGTTTCTTTCACACATACCATTCCTCAAAATTGCCATTTCACTTACTGAAACTTCTGTTACTTAAAAGCTATCTCATTTGCATTTCCTCTTTACGTTTCGCTTCTTGGGTTTTGGTTGGAAAAGAGTTGCCATTAATCTTAGCCTCCAAAGAACCCAGAGGTTACGTTAAAGAAAAGACGCGTGAGCCGTCACACGCTGTCCTGCTAGAAGATTCCATTTGGAGAAAGAGACGCCATAATAGGGTGCAACTGATCCTCAATTATGTTAAGATAGTCTAAGACTTTCCCCAGTCCCTTCTACCAGAACTAAGGGTCCCAGAATCCTCCATGAGAATAATCTTTAAAGCATAATACCACCGCCACTAGTATACGTAAATGGAGGGAGCAACTGTTCGACTGAGGAAGACGGCACACCTTGACATAATCTCATGGACGTGATGTATGAGAAATCATGATTCATACAACCAAAAAACTTTCTTCTACTCATTAACTGTCAAGTCTCAATATTTTCGAACTGATTCTATGCGTAGTTGGCAATGACGCTTGGTCAATAGAGGCTCACGAATGGGACATCTGCTGCGTAGTCCCATATGCAACAATGTCCTCTGATCTGTATGTTCCGTAGCACTCGCACTTGGACCTACATTGTATTGGGCTCTCAGCTGAATCACTGTCTGGCACCGATTTTGCTTTACCAAGCGGGACAACTTCCTACGTCCTTTTTCTTTGACGCGGAGACGTCCAACAGCTAGGTGTGTACTTCTGGTTTTACCTTTATTCATGAACTTTGCATCAATACTAAAAACAGCAGAATACGAAAAACCTACTACTCATGCTGCTTCGGAGATACTCGTTCTGAGTCTGCAGGCCATTAGAGTCTGCCCTCAAATATGTTTAAACCAGCTTCCTTTCCATTCACTCGCAAAATTAAGTACAAGAATGATAGTTTACCTTCTACAGGAGCTGTTAAATACCATTCTGTCTTAATCACGTGGTTTCTATGTCATCTTTAGGCAAGTTAATTGAAAAATGTGGAGGTTCTCAAAATGTTTTGGCTCAACAGTATATATCTTCTTCTCAATTCCAATGAAGCTAAATTTAAGCAATGAAGCATCTATTTGTAATGATTAAAAGCTAAGGTTTCAGAAAAAATCGTTTTCTTACCGTTTGTCCCAATTAATTCGAACATTATAGTACATTGTGCATTACTGATACATTTATATGTGGTTTATATCATTGTAAATGTGTGCTTTATTCAATTCCTACTATTAACTCACACTCTCTATTTATTTATTTGTTTGTTTATTTATTTATCTTGGGGGAATTTTCAATCGTTAATAAAATACATTTTAAAGCGCCCAATTGAGCTGAAATTTTTATGTACATGATTATTTCGGATGACAATACAATAATTTAATTATAATTAATAACAATTAATTGATTAAAAACTAATTCTTTAAAGACTTACAAATACAGCCACGTTGACGACTTAGGGGCCCTTTTGGCGACTTGTGTCGAAACTTTAAAATGTTTTTTTTTCTCACGTTTTAAAGCATTCAGAGTTGAAATAAAATTTTATATACATGATTGTTTTAGATAACAATACTTTAATGATAATTAATATTAATTAATTACCACTTAACGTTGTGATCCTGTCATACGTATATACATATATTAATTGTAACTATTTAATAAAAAGTAGATAAA